CTTCAGAAACATCAAAAAGCCACTACGGGTGGCCATGTGGAATGTTTGAATGCTCACTGCGGAGGAGAGGCTGTCACTCCTCTGTCAGGAGCTGGACTGGTACCACCTGGATCTCTGCGGTATTCAGGAGATCTGGTGGACTGGCTCTGGCTCCAGCCAGAGGTGGACAGTCCTCTACTCGGGGCAAGAAACTGCCAAACAACAGCGAGTGGTTCTTCTGACCCAACGAATGAAGGGGGCGGCAGTGTGGCGGTGAGGTGTGGGAAGCTGGAAGCCCCAGGTTACTGTGGGCTCGCCTTCCCATCAACCAGTGGCAAGGGGTGGTAGTGGTTGTTACTTATGCCCCCACCGAAGATGAACATCAGTGGAAGGATCCAGGCACGGCCGATGAGTCAAAAAGTGGGTGGGGCTAGAAAGGCATTGGTTTTCTGCTCCTAGCCCCGCCCTCTTCCCCCTCCCATCCAGAAGCATTCCACGCAACGCCCCCCCTTCCCTTGCTCCTCCCCCCTCTAACTTATATAACCCCTTACCACAGCGTCTCTCCCACTTCAGCTAAAATTGTCTTGCTGTAGTTTTCACACCTGATGTTGATTGCTTGTGTTGCAATCGAAACGTGAGAATTTTTCATTTTTATTATTTTATTATTTCCCTTCTACGTGACTTTACCGAAAAAACCAAGAATATGAATCCCTGCAGTCACGAAAGCTTTAAATCGAAATCTATCAGGTGTGCGCTAAAGTGGCCCCTCGGGATAGAATCATGCTGTTGGGTGACTTTAATGCCCGCGTGGGGTCATGATGCTGGCACCTAGGCTGGTGTTATGGAAGGCATGGGCCAGATCAGCTCAATAACAATGGTAGGAGGCTGCTAGACTTTTGTGCAGCCCATGGGCCTGTAATTACCAACACGCTGTTCTGGCATCGGTGCATCCACACAACATCATGGATGCATGCCAGGTCCAAGCAAGAACATTTGCTGGACTAGTGACGCAACAGCGGATGTGGGTCCTTGACACCAGGACCTAACGTGGAGCTGATCTGCCCACTGACCACAAGCTTGTCATCTGTAAGATGCGCCTGCCATTCTTCCACTCCGGTGGTGGGTGTACATCCAGGACCTCATTGAAACAGTGGTCTGATCTCAGCTAGCTGTTGAAGGTTGCAAGCGATAATTGTATCATTGTGGCCAGGTCGATTCTTAAAAAGAAGCTAACCCAGTTCCCTGTGATAAAGAGGTTTATAGCTCATCGGATTCCTCCAGTATACATATTCAGAGTTTGAGATTATTTAGCTGCTACTATAAATTTACATACGATAAAGCCACGTCGTTGAGCGATCATTTGTGGCCTTGTCACTTATGAAAAATAGCTAATTGCTCAGTGGGCCTTACCTGGTCAAATGAAGGAGTAAAGTTTTTAGTTTAGTCTATGGATCTCTGTGTGGTCAGTCTATGGTTCTCTGTGTGTTCAGTCTGGTTCTCTGTATGGTGAGTCTGGGACCTCTGGGTCTCTGTGTAGTGAGTCTATTGGTGTGTGATGAGTCTATTGGTGTGTGATGAGTCTGTGGGTCTCTCTGTAATGTGTATATAGGTCTATGTGGTGAGTCTATGGATCTCTTTGGTGAGTCTATTGATCTGTATAATGAATCTGGGTCTGTGTGGTGAGTCTATGGATTTTAGTGTCAATATATGGCTGTGTGGGAGTCTATGGGCCTCTGTGCAGTGAGTATATTGGTGTGTGATGAGTCTCTGTGTGATGCGTCGGTAATGCGGGCGCGGGCGACCTCCAGGATGTGACGTCACGGAGAAGTGGAGTTAGGTGACGTGGGAGCAAGGTTAAGGTTCTTAAGGGATGAGACCGGAAGAGGAGGGGAGAGAGTGAGAGACTGGACAAGAGTAAGGCCACGTTGGGCGAAGCCAGGAAGGGTGGCACGGGCGGCCAGCGGTGGCCAGCTAAGGGAGCAGCCAGCGGAGCTGCGAGAGAAGACAGCAGTGGGGCTGCTGGAGAGAAGGCGGTTGAGGAGCTGCAGTGAACACAGCCGGCGAGGCTGTGTGTGGGAGAGGCTACGAGAGCGACGAGAGGAGAGAGAGGCTACGAGAGCGACGAGAGGAGAAACTGCAGAGAGAGCAGCCAGTGGGGGCTGCGTGAGGATAACAGCCAGCAAGGCTACGAGAACAACGGGAGACCAACAGAGGAGCTGTTGGCGTGACGGGGTTAACAGCAGTATCAGTATCGGTATGGAAGCCTTGTAGAAGGACAGCCGTGTGGGTTACGAAGAAGAACCGAATAAAGGACACCAAGCCAGACTTCGTGGTCGAGTCCTTTATTACACGTCTATAGGTCGACGTCCTGAGTTTATGAATCTGTGGCAAATGTACGGATCTCAGTGTTATTTTATTGCTGTGTTAGTCAATGGGTCTCTGTGTGGTGAGTCTATGGGTATGTGTGGTGAGTCTATGGGTCTGTGTGGTGAGTGTTTGGATCAGTTTGGTGAGTCTCTGGATCTCAGTGTCAGTGTATGGCTCTGTGTGAGTATATGGGTCCGTGTGTGGCGAGTCTATGGGTCTCTGTGCAGTGAGGTTATTCGTGTGTGTGATGAGTGTATGGGTCTCTGCGTGGTGAGTCCATGGATCTCTGTGGTGAGTCAGGATCGATGTGAGTCTATGAATGTCTGCGTGGTGAATTTAGATAAATTGGCTGGTGCTATAAATTCTAAAACATCGGCCACTCCGTTGAGCTCTTTCTGGTCAGGTCGCTTCTGAAACAGCTCCATAGCTCAGTGGACCTTAAGGGCCGTCCATAAATGACGTAACGTGATTTTGGACCATTTTTGACCCCCCCCCCCCCCCCCCATTCGTCACACGGCGTCACAAAAAGTCAGACCCCCCCCCCTCAAATATGACGTCACAAAGCTCTGCACCCCCCCCCCCCCCCCACAAAAAAAACATGCTTCAAATCACTTTAAACTATTGTCATTGTAGTGCATATTTAATGCGGCGCTGCACTCTGATGTTGTAGGAGAAAACATTAAAAAGTCTATTTAATTAGGTAGAACGTGTTGTCTATTTATTTAAAGTTGCGCATTTTTATGTGACGTCACATTTCTCACCCCCCCCCCCCTCGTCACACATCGTCACAAATGTCTGACCCCCCCCCCCCAATAGGTGCGTGACGTCATTATTGGACGGCCCCTTATCTCGTAAAATAAGAGTTTAACAAGTTTTGCAGTGCTGTGGGACCTCACTCAATGCAACGTAAATCCATTTGGATGCTGCCACTGGTGTCGCGGTTTAATGCTGCAATGTACCTGAGTCGGTGGGTTTATTTCAGAAACTGTTTTTCTTGCAATCTTGAAATCTGCAGTTGTAACGTTGCAAAATCGGTGCAAGATTCTTAGAGTTGTGGCGCCGAGGCTGTGCATGCCGGTCAGGTTTCATGCATTAAATACACACGGCAGACGCGGTACCAGATGGCCTCTCCCCCAGGGAGTTTTCATCCCTAAAACTAAAATGCTTTATTTTACCAGGTAAAGCCCACTTAGCCTTATGCTACTTTTCAGACGCGATCTGACAAGTGATATTTCAACCGAAGTGGCTTATCATGTGGAAATGTATACTAGTAGCCAAATAAATTTGGTTCTTTCGGTAAAGTCACGTAGAATTATTTTATTTTATACCTACGTGACTTTACCGAAAGAACAGTCACGAAAGCTTCAAATCTAAACGCACTTTGATTCTAAATGTGGAGGTAAAAAATGGACTCCCAGACAAACCAACGTGACCAAAACAGAGAGGCAGACGCAGAAACTCCAAAAATGTAGCAGCAGTCATCGTGTCGGGATGGAACCCACGACCTCCTGCAACCAGGTAAGAGAGATAACATCTCGCCAAAGGGAGGGGGGGTGGGGATGCAATACATCCGAGATGGTGGGGTTATCATGCATCAATCCCAATAACGGAGTGCTGAGCCATGACTCAACCAGACCCCTGAGGAGTCGAACCATTGTGAAGGTTTATTTAGTAACGCGATTGGGCTGTGGAATTCTGGGACAATGGTGGAAGGATTCATGATTGCAGGTCTGTTTGCTCCGGGGAATGCCACCAGCTGAGCATGAATGAGACACCTCGTCCACGGTACATGTACATATTAATAAAAAATATACTTTTCAGGGATGGAAGTTTGCAAACGAAAGGGGGTTAAATTTCGATGGGGGTTACGTCTAAACACTACTCATCCCAGCTGGCAACTTTGCTTCGTGGAGCTCACCAATGGGACTGTGTCCAGTTATTAAGGGTAACTGCTTCAGACTGCCCAGGAAGCATCCTTCACGAGCCTCCTCCTCCAGAGGCCATTCTTGACACTGCTTGTACCGGCTCGTGCAGTGCCCGTTTAACCCCCTATTATTATACCAAACAGAAGCTGCTTTGGGCATGCGGGCTTCATGATCCAGCCAACGCAACCTCACCTGTCAAGCAGAAAACGAGTTCCTCACAAAACCCAGCCTGGTTAAGCCCAGGATAGTAGGCAGACCAGCCTGAATATTTATAACCGGTGCAGATGTTGCATTCGTGATTCAAGTTTTTTGGAAGCATGGAGGGAATGACTGCTGTGGCCAAGAAGATCCAGAGCTTCGTGTAGAGCAACAGGCCAGGTAGCTTTCATAAAGCATTAAGCAGCTGATGAAAACATACTGAATCAGACGGGCAGTGACACCTCTGCTGTCAAACTAGTACTGGTCATAAGCACATTGCCCAGGTATAGAAAACTCTCCACTGTCTCCACAACTGCCCCATCACCAATGGGGAGATGAGGGGTGGAGTGTTTCATTGCATAAAATACTCAGGCAGGTGCTTCGTTTTGGTGGGGCTGAGGGTAAGAACCCTCTCTCTTAGTGGCACGCTCCAGGGTGCATTAGCGGAAACGTCCAACCCATCCTGAGTGAGCAAATCAAACCGTCAGCATAGACACTCTCACTCGATCAAAGCATTCATAGGAGATTCACTCAAGAACTCAAACTTGTTTATTTTCAACAAAACAAATCAACCCCCCGGTGATGGTAACTCCATGATGTTCACTCTGTGGAGGGGTGTTTTTGAGGGATGTCCTCCCCCCCCCACTTCAGCGTTTCCCCCCAACTCTGGGAGCTGCCGACTTCATCGTCTTGGCGATTTTCTGCTTGGGGGCAGCCTTAACTGCAGCCTGTTGGCAGAAAGAGGGAGGGGGAGAGAGGGTTGGCTCCACGAATATCTCGGAGTGTGAGTGCGTGAGATTATGAGTGAGCAAGTACATGAGAGAGTGTGTGTGAGTGTGTGTGAGAGTGTGTGTAAGAGTGTGTGTAAGAGTGTGTGTGAGAGTGTGTGTGAGTGTGTGTGAGTGTGTGTGTGAGAGAGTGTGTGTGTGAGAGTGTGTGAGTGAGAGTGTGTGAGTGTGTGTGTGAGAGTGTGTGAGAGTGTGTGTGCGAGTGCGTGAGAGTGAGTGTGTGAGTAAATGTGGCGGCTAAAACGCAGAAAGTTGGCACAGGTGGTGCATTTGACAGTCATCTCAGTCAGTCAACCCATGGCATCTGGGTCTGTCCCGTGACCTCCTGCCAGCGGGTGTTCGACACTTCACGTTGCCTTAAAGTGCATATGGCCTGGCACAGGCGCCATGGTGATGTCTCCGTCACTTAGTGAATAGCGGTTGTGTGGATGTGTTTAGGGTGGTGAGTGTCGTGTGTATGTAAGGATGTGTATCAACACATCCTTACATCCACACTGGGTGGTGTAAGTGTAGTGCAACGGTTAGCGCACTTCAAGTGTATAGCATGGCACAAGCGCCATGGTGACATCACCGTCACATAGTGGTGAATGGCAGTTGTTGTTGGAGCAGTCCTGTAGTGGTCAGCGCTACGCTACGAACCCGGCGCCTGGAGTTCAATTTCCGCTCATGGCCACCAACACCAGTGATAACCCTACAGGAGCCTCGCCAATTTACACTGAACCCTATGGGAGCCTCGGCAATTAACACAACCCCATGCAGAGCCTCGGTGATTAACACTGAAGCCTCATGGAGGCCGACGTGGCCAATGTGAGCCTCACCTTGGCAGGAGCTGTGGCCGACTTCTTGGTTCCAGTCTTCACCTTCTTAGCCTCCTTCGCAGCTCTGAGAGAACGCGACAGATAGGAGATATAAGTTCAACGCGTTGTTCCGTAACACCAGGCGCACGTTAGGAATGCAAGAGGCAACGTTTCGGGCGATGGCCCTACTTTAGAGTTGGCACGGCGAGGTCAGAGAGCGTGCGTGGGAGACTTCAGTCCGTGGCGTGGAGGATGGGGGTCTGAATTTGAACGCGACGCTGGGCCCCCAGCCACTGCATCTCTATTTAGACTGGAGGAGGAATCCAATGAGCTATGATGCTCTGTCACCGATGTCAAGTATCAGAATCTTAAAAAGAATCTGTATTTAGAATCCAATTAGCTATGAAGATATTTTTCACCCACAGATGTCCACCAGTAGGATTAACAATCTGAATCGTTCACCACCATCACCTCCTCCACAGGGCTCTCTCTCAACAGAAACTACATCGAAGCGTTTATTCTACACATCCCTTCAGCCGCGCGCGCACGACATCGGTTCAAGAGGAGCAGACCTCCGGTGGACCGGTCTCAAGACACCACATGTCCGCCTCCGCTGATGAGGCAATGAATGTCAAAACCGGTCCAGTGTCGCTCGTCTTGAGGCAACTAACGCCACTGACATTACGCACTCCTACAAGACCAAGCTTGCGGATGTAGCTTGGGCAGTGCAGTGGCTAGGAGACGTTAACCACCTCGCTTGGTATACAGGGGGTCGTGGGTTCAATCCTAACCCTGACCACATGCTGTAAATTTGGAGTATGCGTGTCTCTCCCGATGGTCGCGTGGATTTTTCTCCGGGTCCTCCAGTGTTTCCCTCCACATTTAGAAAGCACGTTTAGAGTATTTTTGGCCGATATACATTTCCACGTAAGCCACTTCTCGTTCGTTGGGCTATCATTTGTTATCGCCGGATGTCTTGTGAAAAAGATCTCGACAGCTCAGTGGGCCTTACCTGGTAAACTACAAAGTTGAGTTCTCGTAAGCGCTACGCTGCGCTACAAACTCGGTACCCGGCAAAGATCCGAGTTCGATTCCCGCTCGTGGCCACCATCAACACCAGCAACGATTATCTGAACCAGTCTCGGACCTCCCCACTAGGTCGACTCAGCCTCAAATGAGTACCTGGTGCGGTAAGTAAACATCGCCACTAGGGGGACAAAGGCAGCCGGGCATGGTGCTGGCCATCTTGTGTACCGTGTCAGCCTTCATAGATGCTCGCTGCTATTGCTCCCTCTCTCCCCTCCCACTCTCCCCTTCCTCCAGTACCTCCCTCCCCCCTCTTTACTGGACATGTGAAAAAGAGCAATACAGCTCACCAGATTCCTCCAATATAAATAAAGTGATTCTCTCCCCTCCCATCCCTCCCAAACTCCCTCCCCGCTTGCTCCACCCCCTCCCTTCTCTCACCTCCCTCCATCCTCTCTCTCCCTCGCCTCCCTCCCTACTTTTTTGTAAATACAAGACGTAATGGATCCCGTTGCGTGCTGTGTTCACAGCCACGACAAAAAACACCCCTCCAATCCCACCGGATGGCTTGCTCGCGCTGAGCCTTGCGGATCTCGGGCTTCTGGTTGCGCTTGGCGAGGATGTCGGAGAGCGTGGCGCCTGTGATGGCGCGCTGAGCCTTCACGGCACGGCGAGACCTCTTCTTAGACACCTCCTCCTGCTCACACACACACAGACACACACAGATATAGGACAGATACACACAGACACACATAGACAAGGAGATATAGACAGAGACACAGACACAAATAGATTTAGACACACAGACACGCAGAGACAGAGAGAGACTGACACAGATATAGACAAAGACACGTAGATAGACACACGCACATATAGACAGAGATACACACAGACATGTATAAATAAACACGCAGACACAAGTAGATTTAGACACACAGTCACGTAGATATAGGAACACACAGAGACATACCAAGACACAGGGAGATTCGATGAAACACGGAAAGACAAAGTGAGACACAGAGAGACAGACGGGGGGGGGGACAGCGAGACACGGCGAGACAGAGAGACGGCCACTTCACCTGCTGGCCCTTCTTGTGCTTGCGTCGGTAGAGGACCGTCCAGTTGATTTGCCGCGGATTGCGCTTGGAGAGGAACGCAGACTCGCACTTGGCATTGAGGAACTGGAAAACCTGGGGACAGAGCAAAACGGAGACTCAGGCTCGCACAGAGAGACGCAGACTCAAGGGACAAAGACTCACAGGGTTCACTTGCACAGAATAACACTCACAGACAGATTTGCAGACTCACACGCACAAAGACACAGACTCGGTGACAGAGAGGCACATTCAAACAAAGACCCACTCACGCACACTTGTGCAAGAAACTTAATTTAATATTAATTATTAAACTATTCTTATACCAGGTAAAGCCCACTGGAGCTATGTATCTCTTTATCAGAATGGACTTGGCCACAAATGATGGCTCAATAAAGTGGCTTATCTGGAAATTTAGAGCAGCCAAATAACTCTAAATGCACGTTGATTCTAAATGTGAATGGAAAAATCAGAGGACCCGTAGAACAATCTACGCGACCATGGGGAGAACATTCAAACTCCAAATATACAGGTGTAAGGATCAGAATGGAATCCACAACCTCCTGAATATCAAGCGAGGTAGTTAACATCTCACCACCATGGTACCAGATACACAAAGACTCAAATAAACACAGACACACAGAGAGTCATAGGGCTCATAGGCTCACACAGCTGCAGAGACAGGCTTACAAAGACACAAGATTCGCAGAGATAAAATGGTTACGCATAAACTTAGACACATACAGACACAGACTCGTGCTGAGACAGTCGTATAGAGACCCATAAACATATTTTTACAGGCACACAAAATTCAGTGACAAAAGACTCGTACATAGATTCATATAATCACAAAGACACTCACAAAGACCACACAGATTCTCAGAAAGACACTCGCATAGATACACACCGCAGACCCACAAGGAGACACTCACAGAGATAGTCACAGACTCATACGGACTCTCACACGGCAGTAACACGAGTGGTGAGGTATGGTTTCTGACCTTGCCGTCCACGCGGGCGAATCTGACCCCATGACCTGGGTAGATCTTGTAGCCACTGAAACTGCACAGTTCGAGCCTGCGCAGACACACACATGGTTAGTCACCCCGTGTCTCTCATCTCTCGCTACCAGTACTCACACACGCACAGCCAGTCATCCCTGTCTCTTTTCTATAGCTACTACCATCACCACTCATTCACCCACACGCTCATCCAATCACCATCACTGAACCGTATAACAAAGCTCTCACGAGTAGCCCACAGACCGTTGTTAGTGGTCTGGTCAAAACAATGTGCGGCCGCCCAGTAGTAATTATGTTTATTGCACACCGCACCAGGCTCTGTAAACCTCGCGGAAGTCAAGGAGAGGTTCAGATTGTTGCTCTCAAACTTGGGGGTATGCCGAATTGATAGCGTAGTGCGGCACTAACCACTCGCTCATCTTATAATTTATATCGTGGCTTACCCAAGGCGCTTTACACAATTAACAAAAGTACATATGAACGTACTGGTGGAGATGAGATGAATGAAATAGACGAGAGGAAGCAATGGCCAAATCTGTGATGCTTGAAATCGGTGAGAGCGAAATTGATAACAAGTGATGATGGATTGAATGGTGAATGAAAGATCCAGAAACGCTCCAATGGCCATCCGGCATCTTACCGTGCCGTGTTGCTTCTTACAAATCTATACATACAGTACTGTTACCACTGTATACTGTACTACTGTATACTGTACTACTCTAAAAGGCCCCACACTGGTTCTGTACAATCTACTTCGAATACTCTTAAACTTGTGAGTACCTCTGTAAAATAATATATATTTTTTTACATCGTAGTTAAACCATAGGCTTTATTTCTTGAAAAGTTTTCATGTACTTGAATAATGTGGTGAACCATAAGCATGACTTTCGGATAACCGGCACATTTGGTTAACCGGCACCCCCCATTACCCATGGATGCCAGCTGAGAGCTGTTGCTGTACTTTGTATATCAAGGCATCACTGTACAGGGAATTCCACTTACGAACATTTGACTTACGAACTTTGTAAGATACGAACAGACCTGCCGTATATCCAGTTGCCTGTTCGGACCAAGTGTCGTAAGTTCAACCGCCACGCAATAGATGGATGGTAGTGTGGCATCTACATCTGCAGAACATGAAGAACCAGTGGCATCTACATCTGCAGAACATGAAGAACCAGTGGCATCTACATCTACAGTAGAGTATACAACTTTTAAAGCCATTACCTGTGTTTAGTGTATCGATAGGAGTAAAGTTGGACTTCAACTTACGAACAGACCTCTGGAACCTAACACGTTCGTAAGTAGAGGAGTCCCTGTACAGGATATTCCCTCGTTACTCACGAACTCGCTATCAGCGATGTTGGCTATCCACGAATTGCATCTGGAACTCTGCACTTCTACATCGAGAGAGAAATCAAGTGATGAAATTAATTGAGAAAATGTGATGATAAACTGAGATAAAGTTATAAGATGCAAATTTTATAGCGATGAGATAAAATGATGCGCATTATAATTAAAGGTAAGTTCCGTGTTACACCGGTTCCCTTCAACGTGTCGCGTGTGGAACACGTGTACGGATATTTTTATTTTACCAGTTAAGGCCCATACTCTTCGGTTCTTTCGGTAAAGTCACGTAGTTAGAAATAAAATAAAACAAATCGTCATTGCCCGATGACGACCGCTTGTGTGTGTACACACTACAGCACATATACAACTCATACACTAATACTCATGTAGATACACTAACTCACACTACAGTACACTCAGATACAAACTCATACACTAATACTCATGTAGATACACTAACTTACACTGCAGTACACACAGATACAAACGCAAACACTAATACTCATGTAGACACACTAACTCACACTACAGTACACTCAGATACAAACTCATACACTAATACTCATGTAGACACACTAACTCACACTACAGTACACTCACAGATACAAACGCAAACACTAATACTCACGTAAATACACTAAATGCTATACCGTACTGACACTGTACACTCAATACAAAGATCCCCGTGTAAGACTGCTCGCCCCCAAGTGCTGCTAGCGAGCACCTATAAAGGCCGGCACAGTGGCACACGAGGGGGTGGGTGGCCAACACCGCGCCCGGCCGCCTTTGTCTCCCCAGTGCTTGTTTTACACCGCACCAGGTACTCATTTGAGGCCGAGTCGACCTAGGGGAGGCGGCCCAGGACCGGTTCAGACAATCGTCACCGGTGTTTGCCGTGAGCGCGAATCGAACTCCGATCGCCGGGTTCGTAGCGCTATCCGCCCCCCACACACTCAGAGAGAGACACGAGAGAGTTGGCACAGAGAGACAAGTCGCCATCACACAGAGACACTGTACACGGCACGCCGGGAGGCAGCGCACACTCGCTCATCCCTCAACACAAGCCCCGAAATAACTCCCCCGCGCCGCCAACATCGCGCGTCCACGACCCGCCGCGCCGCATCGCGGCCCCCTCGCGCGTCCCCTGCGCGCCGTGGCGGCCTCGCGGGGGAGGCGGCAGGGCGAGGATGCGGGCGGATTGCGCGGGAGCTCTCACTTCATGGCGCCTGCGAGACGAGATGGCCGCGTCGAGAGAGAGAGACGAAGGGGGAGGGGCGAGCGAGGGGGCGGGGCGAGCGAGGGGGAGGGGCGAGCGAGGGGGAGGGGCGAGCGAGGGGGAGGGGCGAGCGAGGGGGAGGGGCGAGCTAGGGGGAGGGGCGAGCGAGGGGGAGGGGCGAGGCCGCGGGTTCGCGCGCGCGCTGATTCGGCAACGCCCCTTGCCCCCACCCCTCCCCCCAGCCCTCGTTGAAATGTGTTAGGAACGGCGAATCGGCTGTCGCCGTTTGACCGACGCGAATTGTTCGTCTTAAAAAAATAATGTTACTACACGCCGCGCAGCGAGGTGTAACCGATGGTAAAAAAAGACATGTGACGCGTTCAAAGTATTTAATTAATAAATATAAAGTCGAAGCGGAGGACGCAGTCGCTTATCCCGCCCACGCTGATTCGCGATGACGACACTCCCCGCATTCAAGTGCACGAGAAAGGGGACGCAGTCTCGAGATTCGCGACCATCGAATCTGTAGTTTACTACACAATCTCTAAATGACACATTACAATTATGAAACACTTTTACGAGTAAATAACGACCTCTACACGACTATAATAATGTTAAATTATATTTATAATGTATGAATTGTTTTAAATGTATACATAATACAGCTACAACGTGAGGGACACAGTCGAGATTTCGTAACCATTGATTCGCGATGACGTCATCACAACTCACATTACAAAAATTGAAGTACGCAGATTCCCGGCATTTCAAATGTCCAGACTCGAGAATATTGGCTCACTGAGGGATGTTTATTGACGATATCGAATGGAGTACATTAACGAAAACGTACATACGAGCGCGTACGGCACGTTTTATTTGTATTGAAACAAAAAATGTGCAATAAAAACAACTGATTAATAAGACGAACGGGATAGGTGGAGGAAACGCAGTCACTGTTTCTCGCCCGCCCTGATTCGCCGTGGCGTCACAATCAGCAAGCTATAACAAACATTCCTGCGGAGGGAGCTGGTAGGAACGTTGGGTTGCTCGGTGAATGTCCAGGGTCAACGGCGGCGTGGTGTATTCCGCAAATATGCCCGACTGTGAGGGCGGGCACAAGCCTGCGTGAGTAGGTTAAACGTTGAGTTTTATAAGGGCACCACGGGGTGACCAGCCCCTCCCCACCCAGCCCTACCCCTCCCACCCCCACCCAGCCCCACCCTACCCACCCAGCCCCTCCCCACCCTCCGAACCCAGCCCCTCCCCACCCTCCCCACCCAGCCCCTCCCCACCCTCCCCTCCCCACCCAGCCCCACCCTCCCCACCCAGCCCCTCCCCACCCAGCCCCTCCCTCCCCACCCAGCCCCTCCCTGCACGACGGACGGACGGACACAATAATCCCCTGTGGACTGGTGTAACCAGAAGGTTCCAACCCGTAACAATACACAGACACACGGTTGGAGTGCAACAATAGTGAAATCTGGTAAGCAAGTCACTAAATATGAATACACATTGTACACGTCCCACTGGGCGAAGACCCCGGGGCAAACCCAGGACACGCTGGGAATACCCCTGGAAGGCCTAGAGTCTGTATATAGTAGTGTATAGTGTAGTCTATAGTAGTGTATAGAGTAGTGTATAGTAGTGTAGTGAGTCCAACTGAGTCACAGACGTTGTTCTTTAGAGGCAACACTTTTATTGTAAGATCAACCCGTTAACACAAAGGGGTAACTGCCCCTTCACCAGATACAGCCTAGCGTGGTGACTACCCAGCTAACTACTCTATACGTAGGAGTTACAACTACGAAGGGTCAGACCCTCACTCGGGTCCCGACCACGTGTTGATGCCTCGTAGGACGAAGAGCTTCCAGCTTGTAGACTGCAGCGACCCCGGTCCCTCTCAGGGACCCACCTTTTATCCTCCCGGGTCGGGGCCGCTCTGCCCTTGGCCCCGCCCACCTTCTCGAGCGTTCTAACTTTTTCTCGATCCCTCTCGAGAGCTCTCCCGGACACGTGATCACCCCCTAGCCCCCCCCCACCACCTGGGGCCCTCTCTGGACACTCCGGATCACGTGTCTACGGGGTCAACCAGAGTGCCATGGCCCAGGGCAACCCTGCCCCTGGGCTGACACTCTCCCACTCCCCCTTGTGGGAGCTCGCAATACACGCAATGCGTGGTGCCCGCGCTATCCCAGCGCTCACCAAGCCCCGCTAGGGCTGGTACTACACCCGCCTACGGGGTGTACGCGATGACGGTGCATCGCACGCCGTGCTGTGCTAGAGCCGGCATCACACAGCAACCCACACGGTGCTGTCCGCGATGTTGGGACATCGCACGCCACGGCCCTCTCAAACTGGCACCATGCAGTGACATCCCTAATGTCACTACAGTAGTATATAGTGTAGTGTATAGTGTAGTCTATAGTAGTGTTGTGTATAGTAGTGTATAGTAGTGTATATTGTAGTGTATAGTAGTGTATGGTAGTGTATAATGTAGTGTATAGTGTAGTGTATAGTAGTGTATATTGTAGTGTATAGTAGTGTGTAATGCAGTGTATAGTGTAGTGTATAGTGTCGTGTATAGTGTAGTAGTGGGGAGCGATGGCGCAGTGGATAGCGCGGTGACACTACGAACCTGGCGAGCTGAGTTCGATTCCGGTCACGGCCAACGCCGGAGACGATTATCTGAACTGGTCCGAGGGTCTTCCCTAGGTCGACTCAGCCTCAAATGAGTACCTAGTGCGGTGTGTAAACATCGCCACTGGGGAATCAAAAGCGGCCGGGCGTGGTGTTGGCCACCCACACCCTCGTGTGCCGTACCGAAAGTTGAATGTTGCCGACTGGACCCCTGAGTGTGACAAGGTCCTGGAAAACTTGATAAGTGGCCTAGTGGACTGCGCAGTGTTGGCTCACCCAGATTTCGACAAACCGTTGTATCAGTGGATGCGTCTGGATGTAGTACTGTCACAAGCTCAGGAGAGGTGTGACAAGGCACGCCCAATAGTGTTTGCCTCCAAGACTCTCAGTGGTGCCCAGAAGTGATATCCTGCCCATAGGCTGGAGTTCTTGGCACTTAAATGGAGTGTTTGTTCACTGTGTGGACGGACAACAAACCGCTGACATATGTTCTCACGGAGTCTAAGCTGGATGCTTGTGAGCAGAGATGGACTGGGAAGCTTGCACCTGATGATTTTTAACTCAATCGTATTGCAGGTCGGGAAAATGTGGTGGCAGATGTGCTCAGTCGTTGGTATGGGTCACTGCATTTTTTTTTACTCCGTGAATCCATATAGTAAGAAAAACTATTACATTATAAATAGGCAATATCACTCTTAATATATGTTTTTGAAAAGGCATATATACAACAGCTCAATTGCTTCATTAGGGAATGAAGAGCCTTTTGAGCGCACAATATCGTAGGTGCTGCAGAATACTGGAGATTGGACTACTCAGGATTCTCAGGATTTGTGATTGGTTCGAGGTTCTGTGGATCCGGGAGATGTGAATGCTCAAGAAAAATTGAAGTGGGAACTTGAGTTGCTCTGGATAATACTCGACAAAATGAGACCCGTGTCTTGTCGCCCACCTCTGGCAGGGACTTGGGTACTAGTTGCAATGTAGCTCGAGTGACACAAGTTGTGGGAACAGATGGAAATGACAATGCGCCAGGGGGTTCATATAGAACAAGGGCTGGAAGGGAAGTGCGAACAATAACCCGACTAATTTGGTAAGATGGGTTTGTGGCAAAGGAAATCGCAATCAATGCTAAATATGGGTAGCCATTATCATATTTGTTGAGGATTTCATGAGTTTTATTAATTTACTATCCACATTTTTAATTGTTCTTCCCCTATTGCCTGTTCGGAGGGGTAGGCTATTTTGGTGAAGCAAAAAGCATCAGGAGGCTCAGGCAGAAGAGTGACCAAGTTCAGTGGGGTGTATAAGGCACCACATTCAACTTAGGAGACAACAGGGACTGATCATCCTCTATGTTCTCCTTACTTGTAAATCGAGTAGCTACTAAGCTGTGATAAGGAGACCAAGTCCTAGAGGTATACTTGGGTCCAGATGCTGGGTCGTCTAGTGGCCTCTGTCGTAAGAGATGCTGATGGGTTCTACTTTTTTACACGCTTTTATTTATCTCACTCTGTTGTTGTCGTTGTTGTATCTTAAAATGTTGTAACTCAATTTTAACCCACTTCCCAATGTGGTATCGAATGCAAACTTGATATACTTATGTCATACTGATGACACTACTATATTCTATCATACAAAATACAAATATATATTTTTAAACATTCTTTTTTACATGTGTTGAGTAGTTCCGACGGACGTACTCGGAGACGGAGGTAAGTTAAGGGCTTTCGCCAGGGTTTATTAAAGCTTATCAATATTACACAGGGTACCCAACTCCCAGGGGCTAGGGGTCCTACTCTGAGTCCGGGTCCCTGCCGGCTAGCTCCGGTCTCTCTCTCTCGTGTCAGATCGTGGACTCTGCCGACTCCACCGAGCGGAGAGAGAGCACCTCTACGGCTACCACCGGCTTCTCCCCAGACTCCCTATTCGATCCCTCTCTCTACCCCTGGTTCCCTCTTCACCCTGTTTACTTTACCCGTTCCCACAGTGACCCCGCTTACGTCACGGGGTATCCCTTAAGTACCCTAGGAGACGTGACGTCATGTACACTGTCCAGCGCGCGTGACCCCACGTCCCGTGAAGTCATCGCACTGGACAGCGCACACGACGGCACTACTCTCCTCTACTCCTCTACACACGTTATGTTTTAGCTTGGGTCTAATTGTCCACAGTCGTTGGCTGTAATTTGCCTTGCCACGGTCCCTTACGTTATGGCAAGCTTCGGAGCCACTTCCTGGAGTCGTGTGGAATTCTTCCATTACTACATTACATTAATGTTTACGATGTGACGATCGATCTACTGCTGGATGGCTGCTATGAATCTCTACACGATGTGCTACTTCGTTGAGCTATCGTTTGTGGCCAGGTAGGTTCTGCAAAAAGAAGCTAAAAGCGGGTTTAAAAAATGTTTTTTAAAATAGATATTTTTTTATTTAAAACGGGAGTGCT